GGGGGGATCCACGCCGGCTGCACCCGCCTGACCCGGGAAGGGAGTGACCCCGCAGCCCAGGTACGTACCCTGGACCGGGAATCGGCCCCTCGGTGCGGGGCTGACGCTCCCACCACTGGGCCGCACCGGCCAGGGCCGCACCGGTAGTTTTTTAAAAATGCAGACTCCCAGGCGGGTCCGGCTTGGTCCAAACGAGTGCACAGGGCTCCCCGCCTGATTCACCCTTTGCTTCTGTGAGGGCTTCGGACGTCCTGAGCACACACGGTTGGGCCGAGCAGCAGATTTTCGGAAACCAGAGCCGGAAAGCGCAGGAGGCGTCTCAAAAACGAGCAGGTGCCACATCTGAGCGGCCCTGGAAGGTGCGGCCGCAGGAAGGGCCGGGCCCGCGTTTCCTCAGAGCGGCCGCTGGGCCGGGCTTCGGACTCGCCGAGTCTCCGTGCCTTCGGCACCGGCCGGGCGGCCCGTGGAGTAGCTGCCCCGCAGAGCCGCTCCTCTCACCGGCCCCCGTTGGCTTCCCTGCTTTGACTAAGGTGAGGTGCGGGGGGCCTGGTGGACCCGACTCCGCCCGGTGCCTCGGCCGCAGCTACCTGCCCGCCGAGCGGGACGGCTGCTGAGCTCGCGGAACCTGCGGCGCCAAGGCCTGCCCTCCGGCGCGTCCACGTGGCGCGCGGGCCGCTCTTCCTCCGAGATGTTTAGAGTTTTCTCTCATCGATGTTTCTCTCTCTCCCCCTCTCCCTTCCTCTCTCTAAGATCAATAAAAACCTAGTTAAAAAGTTATAGAACCCCAAAAATTTGGGGGGGAAAACGCGAAAACCCGGGCATCCTCGCTTTCTTACAAACCAGTCCCGCCCCGGGAACCACCTTCCCGCCTCACCCGGGACGCTGGCGCTGGAGACGGCACAGAAGCGAGGCTTTGCGAACCCACGTCGAAGTCCCCCAACGGGGCTGACGTGCTCCCTGACAGTCACAGCGGCACGTTTCGGGCTCCTTTCCCAGAAATTAGTAAATAACAAAATAGCTTTCATTTAAGAAGAAAACAAACAAAACAGACACGATCCTAGCAAACGCTCGCATCGAATCCGGATGCCGCTCATATGCTCACAAAGGGAGACGGTCTCCGTGAGCCAATTTCTCCGCTCGTTCGGTGCCACATAAGGCAGATTTCAGCAAAAAGCTTCTGGTGCCCGGGAGGGAGCCCTGTTCCTGCTGCGGGCGGAGGGTCCTATTTACTTTTCATTCAGAATCCGGGGCCTCGGCTCACGGTCCCTTCCCCGCTGAGCCGGCCGGGCCTGCTCTGGGTGGGCATCTGGGTGGGCATCTGGGTGGGCATCTGGGCCGGCAGCTGGGTGGGCAGCTGGGTGGGCATCTGGGTCGGCATCTGGGTCGGAGGAGGCCGTGCGCCGGCTCTGGGTGGAGGCGCGTTTCCGTGCTGACGAGGGCCCGCGTCCTGTGGTTCGCGCATGAACGTGGTTCGCGCACCTGTTCTGCCCGCGGCGAGCATCTCGCCCTGGCTGCCAGGCGAAGCTTAAACATTCACCCTGAACACTCCCATTGCTGAGACCACAGGCCTGCGGGATGAGCACCCACGGGGACCATCCAGGGAACTCACTGGTTCACTTAAGGAGAAATGTTTTCTCCTGACACGTCTCCTCGGGAAGGGAAAGAAAAACATGCAAGTGGGCCACGTCCCACGACAAGGCGTTTGCCCAGCAAAGGGAACATCACAAAAGGAGGAGACACCCCAGCGAGTGGGAGACACTTTCACCAGCGACACACCTGCGGGGGTGGATACCCAACACGCACGAGGAGCTCACACAGCTCGACACCAGGGAGACAGGCGCCCCGATTAAGACGCGGGCAGAGGGCCTGGAGGGACGCTTCTCCAAAGAGGAGACACAGATGCCGGGAGACGTGAGAAAATGCTCAGCGTCGCTAATCATCAGAGACGCAGATTAAACCCACACTGAGGTGTCACCTCACACCCGTCAGAGTGGCTCCATCAACAAATCAACAAACATGTGCTGGCGAGGGTGTGGAGAAAGGGGACCCTGGTCCCTGCTGGTGGGATGCAGACGGGGGCGGCCACTGTGGAAAACAGGGGAGGGTCCTCAGAAAATTAAAAATGGAGCTGCCATCTGACTCAGTGATCCCACTCTTAGGAGGAATATGTCCTAAGGAACCTCAAACACTAATCAGAAAGAACATATGCACCCCGATGTTCATAGCAGCGCAGTTTACAACAGCTAAGACCTGGAAACAGCCCAGGTGCCCATCGGTAGGTGATGGATGAAAAGCTGTGGGACAGTCACACCGGGGAATACTACGCAGCCCTGAAGAAGGAAAGCTTACCCTTTGGGACGGCAGGATGGACCCAGAGGGTATTAAGCTCAATGAAATAAGTCAGAGAAAGACAAATACCCTATGGGTTCACTTACCTGTGGAATCTGAAAAAACAATATAAGTGAACAAACAAAATGGAAAGACTGCTAGACACAGAGACAGACTGACGGCTGCCAGCGGGGAGCGGGCGGGGGGCCGGGTGAAAGGGGTGAGGGGACTGAGACGCAGAAGGCACCAGTTACGCAGGAGTCACGGGAAGTAAGGGCCGGTGGGAACTGGAAATACGGAGGGGACACCATGTAAAGCACCGGACTGTCCGACCACTGAGCTGTGCGCCCCAAACCAACACATCATGTAGAAAATGCACAACAACAAGGTCAGGTGCCCCTTGAAGTTACAGGACAGTTTAAGAAGCCTTGATGTACTCGTCAAAGGGAAGAGCAGGGGCCCAGGGCGCCCCCTTACCTTCTCCGCCGCCCTGTCCTGCGCCGGCGGCCCCGCCCCGGGCAGGGATGGGGGGGGAGGGGCTCGGCGCTTCTTCAGGTCCGACTTCACTGACACCCCGGAGATGTTGCTCAGCGAGAGGGATGCGCCCAAGGCGAGGGACCGGGAATTCACCGACGGGGAGTTCGGCGTGGTCAGGGAGCCCTGCGGGGAGACACGCGGACAATCTCGTGAGCGTGACGCGCCCGCCTTCTCTGCACCAGGGCTCGGCCCGGGAGCCGGGGCCTCGCTCTCATCTGCAGTCACGGGCTGCTCGCGTTTTTCCCTCTAAACCTAGAAAATCCTGCAGGCGACGCAGGACAGAAAATCACGATGCGGAAAGAAAAACGTCCAGACGTCCACTACGCACCTTCTCTCCTAGTTCGACCAAAATGCTGACATCGGCATTTATTATACAAATACGATTGTTAAGCCAAGAGGCAAAACGGTTCCTCTACCTTCCTGCTGCTCCTGGTTTCCCTCCCGTTTCATCCCCTGGGCTGTCCTCGCAGCGGTTACTGTCCCAACCTCCCAGCTCCCTCCGGCGTCGGCACCCACGGCCTGTGTCCCTCCTGAAAGCGGACCTGCTCCGGCCCCAGAGGGACACCCCGGCTCCCAGGGGCCACGGGCAGGAAGCGTCGCCCGCTGAGCTCTTATCAAAGGCCATCCTCTGAGAGAGCGACTCGAGGTGTAATGACAGACCCACGGCCTGTCGTCAGGGGCAGCCAACGTCCCCAGCCACGCGCAGGTGGCATCGTTGTGACCACGAGACGGAAAGGGAGCTCTGGTCCTTGTCACCCCAGGTGGAGGGTCACCCACTAGAAACTCTAAGTAATTTGTGGTCTGCTTCTAGATACACACGTCTCCAGTCTCGAGACGTTAAAAACGGCTCTTGACACCCGTGCACATGCATCCACACGCACACGCACACGCGCACCACGGGCAATGATCACGGGCACCCCGTGTGGCGGGGCGACCCTCGGCTGGTGGCCCCCC